TAAAGAGTAGAAGATCTAAGGTTAAGATTTTTCCACATGTTTCACATGCATCCTTCTTCGCACCAGAGCCTAAGCGTGTGTGCGTGTGTGCGTGTGTGTGTGTGTGTGTGTGTATATATATATATAAACTATAAGCCAATATATATTTGGTGTTCCAACAACACTTTATTGGCGGTCCATTATATTGTAAGATATAGCCGTACTTTTGTTATTCCATTAAAAAAATAATTGGAAAATGACATTTGAACAATTATATACATAATATTAATAATTGTGAAGCCAAGGTATATTATAATTATATTAAGAAGGTTGAAGTTTCAAAGATATAGCGTACAAAAAAAAAATATCAGGAAAATAAAGTCATAGGAAAATATTCATTCTGTTCAACAGACAAAATGTTCAATTTTACGAAAAATGTCATCCTAATTTTTTAATCGGAAGACATTTTTTAGATTCTTTATTTTTCATTTATCTCTTCAATGTCTTCATTTAAGTTAGTTTTATTATTATTATTATTATTATTATTATTATTATTATTATTATTATTATTATTATTATTATTATTATTATTATTATAACAAATAATATATTCATTTTCAAAAAAGAAAAAGAAAAAAGAACCAAACAGAAATAATGCATTTTCTTAACTTTCAGCCAAATAGATAAAGTTAATTTTCTGACATTCAGCCAAACACAAAAAAGTTTCTTCCCATGTAAATTTATTGTATTTGCCACAATGCGTTTCTTTCCATGTAAAAAAGTTTGGTTTATTGTATTTAAAATATTGTTTTCAAATATTTTTCGTAGTTATTTTTATCGATAATTTATTAGTAAAATAATTTAAATTATTGTTATCTATTGAAAGTTGGTGGTATAATACCCTATCAAACCTTCATCTAACCTATTCTAATTATATATATATATATATATATATATATATATATATATATATATATATATATATATATATATATATATATATATATATATATATATATATATATATATATATATATATATATATATATATATATATATATATATATATATATATATTGTTTAGACATTTATTTATAACTCTTGGAAGGAATATCTAAGTATGATTTAAATTATGAGTATTTATTATATTTTTTAGGTTCATTAAAAATTTTTTAAACGAAAATTTAGAATTATACATTTAGTGAGTTTTTTTTTTTTTTTTTTTTTTTTTTTTTTTTAAAGAAAAACAATCGAAATAATTTGACATCTCTATGTATTCAAGTATTTTAATTGTAGCTTTCAAAAAAGAAAAAAAAAGTATTTTAATTTGTAGAGCTTGTCCAAATTAAGAAAATCAAAAACTTAAATGATGTATTTTACACGTGAATTACCTCCCAATTAAATTCCTAACAACTTTCATGCTGGCAGCTAGCAATGTAGAATGACACGACTTACCCATTCTATTTTTAGATAAATGCTTCTTCAATTGGTTATCATGAATATTATCAAACCAATTGCATTAATGCATTATATTTATCTAGAAGATGGTTGGCGTAGCATTATAATTATCTAGAAGATTGTTAGCGTGTCATTCGGACAAAACATCTTGTATTGTTATTTATCAAAGTAATTAAATACTTCACATGCTATTTTTTTTATAAGGAAGGGAGATACCCTACATATACACACTATTTGCCTCAATTGAAGTTCAAACCTTACACCTCCCACTTAGGGAAGCAACCCGATACCAGTGGACTACAAGCCACTTGGTCTTCACATATGCTATTTGATGGATTTGAGTTTTGCATTATGCTCACTCCTTAATGGGTGACCCTAGTGGGTCACCCATCTTATGATGGTTGCTCAACAATCCCTCCCCCAAAACCTGATGCAACATTTGAACACCAAGTCGTATCATGCCTGACTCAGTCTTTTGCCTTCGGGCTCATTATCCTTCTTGGAACTGGACTTGGCCCGACTTACGTCTACATCCTATCTGGAACTGAACTCAGCGGATATTCCCTCTCGAGACTCGACTTGGCCCAGCCTACACCGACATTCTATCCGAGATTGAATCTTCGACTTTCGCCTCGCTATCGATTCGAACATGTGACCTCAGTTTCACCCATCCTATTTAATTGTACTTTGTCTTAGGAGTTTCTTTGAGCAACATTCTTTATTTTTGAATTATTTAAACATAACATAGGATAAGGGTCAAATAAGTTATTTTACTTAGTAAAATAATGCACAATTGAGCTCATAATTAGAAAAAAGAAATCACTTAAATGCCTTAAATAAAGCAAAAAATGTTACAATTAGTTCATTTAGCCGGCCTTTAACAATCAACAACCACTTCCTTGACTTGGTAATAGATTATCTTCTCCGAAAAGGTTGAATCCCCAACTCCAAGGACCCTCACACCCACGTCCGACGACATAACATTTGAGAGGATATAAATCACAGTAACTCAATAGTTCAGTAAAAATGGTTAAATGTCGATGCACACAAGGGAGCTATCCACTTTTGGCATAATCTAACTCGTATGTGAACTTGTTTTTTAATTGAATAACAATTGAAGTTGAAGAACTACCTGGATAGCTATTATAAACAAGTATGTGGCTATTTACTCCTATAAGATCGACAACCACTTAGCAATAATATAGTTGCCTTTGCAATAAATTAAATTTGGGATGAAGTCATGATAGGCTACCTTCTTCACAAATTTGGGATTAAAGAAGCCATAACTTGCTACCTAATTAATCCTAGATCTAGGAAAAAGAAAGCCATGCATGACTAGCTAGCTACTTTCATCCCGTATCTAGGACCATAGTTGCTTGAAATACTAATATAAACCTATAGGCATTCCAAAGATTGAATTATGCTCAAAATACAAAGCATAATGCGAAAATTTTCGAACTCTCAACCAAAATAACCTAAGAGTAATAAGAATAGTGTATTAATGATTTAAAGTCCATTTTTAGTACAATGAACTGACATTTATACATGAATAAATATCTATACATTATAGGACTACTAACAGGATCTCGACATGTATAATAGAACTAGTTGTCATAGCTAGCTACTATGCATAATGGCCTTTGGCCAATAATTAATAAAAGTAGTAACAAATTGACTTGATGTTTATAATAACCAATTAACCGATTGATTTGTCTCATAGTGAACTCATGTGAGGATGGGGGGCCTTAGCTTGGGAGATGGACTTAGAAGAATTGAAGTAACTCAAACTCTTCACTTGATTGGGTTCATTCTACTCAACCAATCAAGTGAATCCTTAATACTTAGTTAGGTTATTTAGATCCTGATTATATATAATTGAACTTCCAAAACTTTAGATTGAATTGAATATGGAGAGTAGGAATGATAATCCCAATATCTCCATAATGTTTGTTTAATTAAGTTTGAGAAAAAACTGGCGAATTAACATCCATCTTTTTTTTTTCTTTTTTTTTTTTTTAATTTGTATGTTTTGTAAAATAAAAAATTAGCTCAAATCAGTGCAAACTCTTTAAAATTACACATGGAAGCTAACTTAGTGCAAATTTAATGCAAACTCAACACTTAGAGGTTGTTAACTAGGTAAATCCGTAAATGTGTTACCAAATTGACTTTTTTTTCCCTCCACTTAAAGACATTTCAATAGAGTTGATTTGTTTTTGAGAGCCTAATTACACTATTTTATCAAATACAAAAGCTTCTTTAACTCTTATTCCTAACTTATTTATGAACCACATTTCAAATATTGTATTCAAACTAAATTTGTTTAATGCTCACGATATATTAGTATTGTTGGATTTTGGACCTAGAGTATCTAAACAAGGTATATTGGAAAAGAACTACAAGAGATGCCAATAGATGGAGAGAAGTAATAAATGGTTGTTGCATTAACATGCTCAAACGTTAAATTTTTTTTTTCTTCTTGTAAAGATATTAAAATTTGTTATTCCTCTTTTTATTCTCCCCTCACTTGAACAATAAATGAGGGATATTTATATAACAACTATCACTATTTACTAAGAGTTGATTTTGGTTTATCATCATTAGTTAAAAACTTTCATGGCCTAAATTTACTTCTTGTACCAATAGGTGGTATGAGAGGGGATAATATATGTTCCTCCTATTATTATGAATATGACAAACTTGTTGACCTTTGTGTTAGGTCATGGGCAGTTCTCCTTGAGAATATATTGGCCAGGTTGAGGATGCCTTCTTCGTTATGAAAGGTGGGATGGTCTTCATTGTCTTTGTAGGTCGATAGTATTTGGATCGGACTTTTTAGACTATCGGATACCATATAACCCCAACAAGTATAATCATATTTGTTTAACTTATACAAACTTGCATGCTTACCAAATTTGTTTATGAACAAGTTTATATTTTATTTGTAGATTGCTTGAATTAAATTATTATACTTTAAACTCATAATCATTAAAAAAATGTTATATGTCATCATTTGAGTCTCAATAATAGTATACACATGAATCAGTGAAACTCCTAGAGGTCATATGAAATTCTTGATAAGTATTGTATAATTTATTTTTTTATATTCCCAAGAGTTTTATTTAATTTCTTCTAAATTATTAAGTAGTATAAAATTTATTTTAAAAAATGAAACTAAAAATCCTATAACTTAAAATAAATGCACCCTTAAGTTTCAATATAAAACGTGTACATTTTTCTCATTAGCTTTATGCTTAATTTGGGATTAAATCTTTAAATAAACTTATTAGTGATCACAATAAATATATTAATTGCAAAAGTCTTACCAATTTTGGTTTAGACCAATAATAATTTTAGCCTTCCACTTGAAATAAAATTAAAATTTCCTTCTTTCTTTCAATTTATAGGCTCAGAAATAATTTTAAGTACAGTTTGTAAATATAATATTTTATTTCACTAAAAATGATGGACACGTGGACGAATCGGATTACTCGATGAGGATATATGGTGTAACCGCCTTTGTCTTCTCCCCCTCTCGGCGGCTATAAATATCCAAAGTGTACTCTCAATCTTCTGCAACACTTTTTCATAGATAAGATCATAAGAAGAGTTTCTGGAAACAAAAGGTCGAGTTATGGACTCAGCGGAATTCTCCGAGTTGATCCCGGGTTTGCCTGAGGAACTCGCTCTAGAGTGCCTCACTCGGTTGCACTACTCGGCTCACTCGGTCTCATCCCACGTATGCAGACGCTGGCGCGAGCTTCTTCAGAGCAAGGACTTCTACTATCACCGTAGACAAACGGGTTTCACCCATAAGGCGGCTTGTTTGATCCAGGCGCTTCCGGTTCCGGCCGATTCGAAGCCGGTTGGGCAACCGAGTTACGGAATTTCATTGTTTGATCCGGCGAGTGGGGATTGGGATCGGGTTGCTCCGATTCCGAAGTACCCTAACGGGTTGCCGCTTTTCTGTCAAATCGCGAGTACTGAAGGGAAGCTCATTGTGATGGGCGGGTGGGACCCGGCGACGTGGGATCCGATTAGGGACGTGTTTATGTACGAGTTCACGACCGGGAAGTGGACTCAGTGCGAGGACATGCCGTGTAGACGCTCCTTCTTCGCGATGGGCGCCGCCGGCGGGCGGGTGTTCGTGGCCGGCGGGCACGACGAGAACAAGAACGCGCTGCGCAGCGCGTGGGCGTTCGACACACGGGAGAACCACTGGAGCGAGTTGCCCGGAATGAGTGAGGCGCGTGACGAGTGCGAGGGGATCGTGGTGGGGCCCGAGTTCTGGGTGGTGAGCGGTTACGACACCGAAACCCAAGGGCGGTTCAAGAGCAGCGCCGAGGCGCTGCAAATGGAAACGGGCGAGTGGAGGCGCGTGGAAAACTCGTGGGCGTCGAGTCAGTCCCCGAGGGGGTGTGTGTGGGAGGGCAAAAACGGAAACCTTAGAAGCTGGACTGAGTGTGACCCGGCAGTGAAATTCGGGTCATGTGGAATTGACCTGGGCGAACATTGCATATTGACCGGGTCATCTTACCAGGGGGCCCCACATGCTTTCTTCTTCATCGAACCACAAAATCTTAAATTGGTTAAGACAGACGTCCCTGACGAGTTTGCGGGAATTGTGCAATCCGGATGCTGTGTGGAAATATGAATTATCCATTCCAAATAATTATACCATATTTGTTAATACTATATGAGTTTCATCCTTATCCATTTTCCGACAATTTTTAAATAGTATCATTATATTATTTCCTAAAGTTTAATAATTTAAATATAATGTTGTGGGTTTTACTTTGCCAGTTGCAACACTAACCTATCTTTATATTTAAAATTTTAATAGCAAATAGTTACTTTTTCACAAAATATTTGTGTTTCTTTTAAGCTACATCTTACATAATAAAAGTTGTTATGTATAAATATGGATCTATTTTTATATAGTGTCATTTATTTTTATGTGAATTTGGCATGAATTGTTGAGTTAAAGTCTAAAAAGAACATAGATGTTTGGTTTGAAAATGGATTAGAAATATGAATTAGTTTGTTTATTCAAACGATTGTAATGATGAAAGATATTATATTTCTTATAAAAAGTAAAATTTTTAATAATTGTAAAATTAAAATTATATTTTTTATTTTCTAAAACTTTTAATCATTAATAAGTTTTGATGGATAACTGAAATTAATACTCACTTTTTACATGAATTTCATATTTTTATTTGATATGACCTCTCTCTCTCTATATATATATATATATATATATATATATATATATATATATATATATATATATATATATATATATATAATCGCACTCAGGTGCGATGCTTTGCTCAGGTGCGAAATAGGAATGGATTCTGTCCGTCCAGGTGTCCAGATCTAATAGATGAGAGGACACTGATTTTTTTTTTTTAAAAAGTGCGATGACATTTTCGTAAATAATTGAACATCGAAGTGCAAGTAAAATGTATTACAAATGCATGTAAAATATATTATAGGTGCAAGTAAAAATTTACACTGAGCATCAATGCTAAGTGCACCTATAGTTATAAGTAGTTGCACCTATAGTTCTAAGTAGTTGCACAGATAGTTATAAGTAGTTGCACCTAGGTGCATGTTTGCAGGTGGTTTTCAAGGATATTACTATCCGCTGAACTCAGATCAATGAATGTTAACAAGACAAAATTACATGCACTTATAGGTGAAAGTTGGTGCACCTATAATTATAAGTAGTTGCACCTATAGTTATAAGTAGGTGCACCCAGGTGCATGAATGTTTTCGGGAAGTGAATGTTAACAAGACAAAAGTACATGCACTTATAGGTGAAAGTAGGTGCATTTGTAAGTGATTTTATTTGCACTTCAATATTCAATTATTTACAAAAATGTCATCGCGTTTTTTTAAGCTATTAGATCTGGACACGTGTCGCGTTCTAATTCGTTCGCATATTCCTTCCTGGACATTTATTTACACCTGAGTACATCCCTATATATATATATATATATATATATATATATATATATATATATATATATATATATATATATATATATATGATGGAGCAGCCTTGTTGGCTAGTGTCTTTTAACCTTTGGATGTGGTTTTGGGCCATTTCAACATTGCAATTTGCAAGGATGATATTTGACAATTTGGTATACTTTAGGTCCCACAAACGATGCTGACTGATTGCAAAGGCAAAATGGTCATTGATATGAGTAGCCGAGTAGGCATAAGTGGATAACCTTCGGCAGGTTCTCGCTGAAGTTTAACTAGAATTTGCATCGTTTTTCAGTACATGTTTGGTTCACGAAATGAATTTTGGATAATAGGAATATTACTTCATAAAGAATGGAATAGACAAGGAATAAAATAGGAATTGTATTCTGTTGTTTGGTTCGCAGAAATAATAGACTTTAAGAATTATATTACAGTTTTTGGTTGGTTTAAGGAATAGAAATGAAATAGGTTTTAAAAGACATAAATACCTTTATTAAAATATGTAGTGGTACGGTGGTGGCGGCGGCGGCGACGACGGTGGTGGTGCTAGTAGTGGTGGCGGCAATAGTGATGGCAATGACGGTGGTGACGGTGGTGATGGTAGCGGTGGCGGTGGCAACAGTGGTGGTGACGAGGTGGCGGTGGTGGTGGTGGTGAAATAGGAAATAAATTTAATTAGGGGTAACATAAGAAATATATAAATGTGTGTGTGTGTGTGTGTGTGTGTGTGTGTGTATAACCATGTATGTAAGGATATTTTTGGTATTTGTAATATACAAGCTATCCCCATAAGTATGAGAATAGCTAAATCATCTATCTACATATATAGTCCTTTGAGTTGAGGCCTAAGGACTTGAGGAGTTGAAATTATTAATTATTATAATATTTATATATAATTCTAGCATTTTATACGTGCGGTGCGTGAAAATTTATGCCTAACATTAAAAAATTGGTAAATGTAAATAATTACAAGTTATAGTTCAAAATATATTTAAGAATTCCTTGAAGTAGTAAATTTTAATCATTGTATTTGAAAACTATAGAGATGAACAAAATTTATAATTTTTTTTATTAATAATGTAAACAATTTTGATATAATTTATACTTTGTTTTTGCAATAAATAAATAAAATATCTATAATATTAATCTAGTACCCGGTCGTATATATTGTTGTGTGCGTGCCTATATATATACACACATATGATTTACCATTCATAGAAATTTAATTAAATTATAATCAATAATTAAATTAATTATATAATGATTTTAATAAAATGATAATTAAAGAATAGGAAAAAGATATATGTGTATGATAATAATGATTGAGTTATGAAAGTTAGAACTAAATAGTAACCGTGTTATAATGGTGTAAGGGTACTTTTGTCTAACAAGAACGTAGTAGGGATAATGTTGTCCATTATAATTGAAGTGTACAACATTTAATGAAAAATGTATACATTTATTAACATACAAATGTAGATATGAATAGAAATATGGCTATAGCTTAATGAGTAAAGTTTTTGTTATAATTAAATGATTAAGGGTTCAAACCTCATTTTAGACATTTAATATATTATATATCTATTATTAAAAAAAAAACCGATCGATTTTTTGATTCGATTCGAGTAATACCCGAACCGAACCGATCGGGTTCCTCAAACCAAGTACCGACCGGATTCGGTTCGGGTAATACGAACCGAAATGCTCAGTCGTAGTTTAAATTCGGTTCAAATTGACAATTTAGATTTTAACCGCCAATTTTGAACATTTAAAAAAAAAAAAAATTACAATTTCAAACTTCAAGAGTTCTATTAAATTTCTAATATCAATATCCATAGTAATTTATAATTTACATATATATATATATATATATATATATATATATATATATATATATATATATATATATTAATTATAAATTAAGTTTTTGCATTACTTTTTTGATAATATCGCATCATTTTTTTTTAAAAAAATTCATGAATAAACTAAAAAGTTTAAATACACATTGTGATAAGATAAATACACAATGATACATACATTGTTCTAGACTAAATACACATAAACACGTATCATTTCAATCAAAACCGCATCCTTTTGGTTTAAAAACGTATAGATAGATCAAAAAGTATATATATGCATCATTTTGAGACAAATACACATGGTTTATTCATTCAAATTCCTATTTATTTATAAAAAATTCATTTTCTTTTATTTTACTTACACATCTCCATTAATTCATTTCTTGTGATTAGATGTCAAGATTCACTTTTATTATTATTATTATTATTTTTTAAAATGTTATGTATATTTCACTATTTTAGGGTACTAAATATTTGTAGAGTTTATTGTCGGTGGACCAAGGTATATATCATACTATGTGTGCAATAATAGAAAAGGAAGCAGGAGGCCAATGGGATTGGATAAGATGTAAAGGGAGAATGAGCTGTCTAAAACTCTTGGCGTGATATGAATATATATATTTTTTTTTTGAAAGCTACTGGTTCTATTACATTGTAGTATCTGTTCATATACTTTCTCAACCTACTGAAACACAAAGAACCAATAACGCCTCCACTGAGGCTCGAACTTATAATCTTCCAAATGGAAGTCCAACCCGGATACCATTAGACCACATAGTCCTAGTTGGCGTGATATGAATATGATGTCTCCAAATCTTATAATTAGAAGTGATGATAAAAATAGGGGATACCACATGGGCAATGACTCAATTCAACGTTTGTACAATTATTGTACGTCGGTGAAAGATTATTAATCATCCAAAGATATTTTTGTAGAGCAATCTCCAACTAAATTAGTCAAACTGTTAGTTTATTCATTATAGTACAGTCTATTAACTTTTTTGATTTGAATCGAAAACTGATTTTCCTCATTGTCTAGTGTATACTCTCCACTGATTACGAGTTTTCCTGACCTCATCACTAAAAAAGATCTTTTTATATTTATGAGAATATAGGAAAATGATAAATTTACTCATTAAAGTAAAAATATTTTTTATTATGATATATTTTAATTGATTAACTATCAAATCATAATGCATATTATTAAATTTGATTGAACAATTAACAAATTATAATATTTTTACTCTTAGAAAAACTATAGTATTGCTTGAGAGTATATTTTCTGACTATATTTCTTTTATTCAATTCAATAAATTAAATGGGAGGACGATAAAAGAGAGAAAGAGATAAAAGAATAAATCCATCCACTAAAGCTAATATCAGTGAACTATGTTCAGGAGTAGTAAGCAAATTGGGCACATGTAGGAGAACTTTAAATTAGGTTGAGAATTTATATAGAAAATGATGATTTTAATGTTTAAGAAATGTCCATGGAACTTAAATAATATTTTGGTGCTTTGGAGGTGTAAATATTATTTTAAGTTTAGTTAGAATTTTTTAAAAACTTATTGATTAGGATTTAGGAATGTTGGCCCTCTGGTTTGTTTTGGAAAGAGTTAAATATTTGAGTTTTACTTGAAACGATAGTTTAAAAAATATAAAAGTCTTAATTAAGATTAATCATTATATCATAGATCATAATCCATCTTGTAATAAATTGGACCACTAACATAAGGTTGATTTTTAATACATTGAATGTGTTAGAATTTTTAGCTCAAAAATCAATTTTGAGTGGCTATTTATGGTACAAATATATGGCGGGGGTCACTTTTGATTTGGCTCGAGTCAAAGTG